AGTCTGATCAGCTCTGATGGGGTCGACTTGGTGAGGTCAGTATGATGTTTGAAAGACCCGAAACTGCCCAATGATCCAACTTCAGAACATCACTGACGACGCCCTCTAGCGCAAAAAGAGCGTATATTCAAAACTGCCATATAGGAAGACTAACATGACGTAACACTTCAGTACTCTTTCCTTTGTTTCTAACGGAGTTTTTTTTCTGTTTATTAATGCTCTGCTTCGCGTTTTGAATGCATCTTTGGCTATCCCAATGCGCCTTACAGCAAAACTGAATCTCATAAGTAGCGGGACAGTGAAGATTAAATTCACTATAGCGACTAAAACCTGAATGTGCGATTAGCCTAAGGCGAGGTGCAGAAAATTGATTCGCTGAACGGAGTTCAAAATCTGGGCTAGTCTGTTATATTTACACAAATACCCCAAGGAAAAGCATTAATCTGTCTATTCTCCCCACTACCAGCTATGGGTTAAATAACAAGGTAGACAGGGTTTTCTAAATTTCTATGTGGAATATATTATAATACAGTGTAACCCGGATAAAAGAGACCCGGATATAAGAGAAACCCGGATATAAGAGAGATTTTCGCTGGTCCCAAATTAGAGCCTGTGTTAATGTATATAAAATAGACCAAACCCGGATATAAGAGAAACCCGGATATAAGAGAAACCCGGATATAAGAGACTTCTTCTCTGGTTCCGACAAATCTCTTATATCCGGGTTACACTGTAGTATTATTAATAGAATAATAACAAAATCCATTATTTCGAGTTTCATAAATAACTACTATCAAGCGGATAAAATGCTTTAATTTTATGCGTTTGATGATTTTTATTGCATGAAACTCAGAGTAACAGATTTCGATATTATTATTATTATTATTATTATTATTATTATTATTGTAGTTGTTGTTGTTGTTGTTTGTGTGTTATGTTTCCTGCTTTATATCTTGTAGAACCCGGTCCAAACTAAGGTCTTTCGCCCCTATAGGAGAATTGTCATTTAATTCATAGCACTTTTCTTAGTATATGAGATGTACCTAGTAGGGTGATCATCTGGGCAACTTGTATGTTGATGTTACCTGGGACATTTAGTAAAATTGTCCATTCCTTTTCTCACGAGGCCCAGTGCTCCGATTACTGCAAAGAAAGAAAGAGAGAGATAGAGGGAAATAGAAAGGGATAGAAAGAGGAGATAAATATATGTCAGACAAAACTTGGCCGAGGTTTATATTTTATATCAGCTTGAATTAAACTTGACACTCAAGAACACCAAAGGTGTGTCTTAAAAATGCGCGTACAAAAGTAATGCGGATATGTTTCCTTAGGTGTTTATAAATTGTACACTTTTCAATTATTAACGTTAACAACGAACTATTTTAAATTACAAAATTGTACTTGGAATAAACGAAAATTACTTACAATATAACACATATTACTCATAATACATTCTTTCTTACCGTCAATTTTGACTGTACTGGTACACTAGTAGATATAATTGTATACCAGTTTATCTAGGTGAAGGATGAACCCTCCCAAGAAATCATGACAAAATCATGATCGCTGCAGCAGGCTCGTAATCGCTTTTCTTAGAAACTTCATTTCAGGTGTAAACAAAAAGCGCTTGGATATGAAAAGTCTCTGTATTTTTTTATTTCACTGATTTTTCTAAAACTTATATTGTCAGATGCAAAAATCAGATTGGCCAAATTTTGGCATTTTTACTTACTTTTATTTTAATTTTTTCTACATAGTAAATTTAACTACAATCTATTAATAATTCCATATAAATAATTATATTTTAGCTCATTTGTGGCATAGTGCGGCAGGATGAACTGACATCGCGGGCTGTATCCGACCCGCGGGCTGTATCCGGTCCGCGGGCCGTAGTTTGGTGACCGCTGGTGTAGAGCCATGTTCACTTTCGTCCTGAAGAGATGTAATGTTAAAATAGAAATTGTAGTTTGCCAGTCTCATTATGACCCGAATTTCTTTGACTGTAAGATTCACTTCTTTTCGTTGACCTTGACTAAATCGAGTGTTTAAACACGCAAGCAGACGAGACCCATTCATCCTCATAGAAAAAGACAAAAGCTAATATTTACCTGCTGTTACTTGCTGTCATTTTGACGGTTCGCAGGTTTAGCGATAATCAAGGAAAAGTGAGTTAATCTTAAAGTCAGTTATGTGCCATAATGTGATACATGCTTAGGCGATCATGTATCTTTCGATGTATGACTGACGAGGCAGATTTTTTTTCCCGCAGTAGATTGCCATTTCTTTCTGTGGTAGACCAGTTGCCATCCAAGGCTACAGAATCCGGTCTGTCCTGCTATTTACCCATAGCTGGAAAGAGGATTCATATCTTTCCCAAGGGTATTAGCACGTAAGTGAATGTAATGGATTCGACTGGAATTCGAACTCGGCTCTCTGATTCCTCAATCCGACCCGCAATCCATTACTCCACCGTAGAGCAGGCGTTCTTAATCTCTTCTTTCCTTAGCACTTCTTTTCAGATATTTGCATTGGTTAGCGACCTCATGTTAAAATTTCAACTTTAAATACAGTAGAGTTCAACAGAGTTTATATCACTCGTTTCATTGGGGATAGATATTGTTATTTTTATGACTCACCCTACAGACAAAAACTGTACATGTGGAGACTCGTTAGGACTTCATGGAAAAGTTGTGGTATTCTAGTGACTGCAGTAAGAAAGGTATGCAATAATACTGTATTATTGGCAATGGAATGTTATCGGATGGGTAGGGCAGTGATTGAGACTAGCTAAGTAAAACCTCCCTCTAGATTTGGCCTTGTGACATATTTGATGTAACATCATCAATAAATACCAACCTCACTTGTTAAGGTTTTGTTGGATTACAATAGCGCCAATCACCGGAAGTAATCTGTGACGAGAAGGGCCAAGCAGAGGTCAGACCATAGACGTTATTGGGCTTTAGCTTGCAGGTTTTTGTTCCATAAACATATTGCAATTGCAGCTGAAGTTTTAAAATTATCTCTAAAAGTTTCTGTCTGAATTTCTAGGACGAGGAGCTATCATTATTTGCACTATTTACATTTCGATTATTGTCCTCATCTTTGTTGCTGTTAGCCGTTGCGCCCTTCATCCTTCATCAGGTGCATACCGATCCGGGATATACACCTGATGAAGACCAGAGCGTACAACAGCCGAAACGTTGCGATAACAGCGGAGGGCCGTTATCTACCACATTAATAACAACTGCGTTACAATAAGAAACAAGGGGTTTAGCGAGAATACGCCGACGAATATGGGTGCCGAAAAGTTCACAGCCTAGCCCACATCCCAGAATCAGTATTTTAATGTTTTGACATTGAAACACTGATTTTGTGTATCAAGTCACATTAACAAGAACTGGCAAAATATCCACTGGGAAATGGTCAAAGACGAACTGCCAAAGTAAGAGAATGCTAATTGTTTATTATGGGGTCTGTAATGTTATTGGTCTTGACCTGGCTTCAGTCACTTTCCCCACCGTCGTGACGTGGCTTTCCTCTGTCTTTTTTTTTTTAATAATTATTTTCATGTCAGTTGTTCTAATGAGCTCTTTCTCTTCGTATCTCGACCGCATGGATTTATGCTTACTCCTAGATTGGCAACAAGGCCTCACTGCCTTACTGTTGAATTAGCTAAATGTAGCCTTAAGTTCTATTCTTATAGTCTACTTTCTCACCCGTGGAACTCTCTTCCGGCTTCTTGCTTCTCTATCACCTACAATCTTTAAAAATGTAAATGCAGCACCAATTACCATCTTTTATCTTCCAGAAATCTGTTCTTTTATTGTCCTTTCTCTTCACTAGAGTCTTCTCATTCTCTTTTACTCCAAGTAACCCATTGCGTCTTACTTTCAGCAAAAAGATTATAAAGAAAAGGTACTGCTAGTATTATTCGAACTAGCATCTTTTTTCAGGTCAACGTTTCGACTGATATGCTCTTTGGTTTTCTTCAGTGCATCCGGTCCTTTTTGAGTAATGGTCGGTATTTTACGTAATATTTGTTTTCTGTCGTCACACTTTAAACGGTTCTCAGTTCAAAAGAGCAAACACTAACATTGACAAATAAAAAAAAATTAAACGATTCTCAAAGATTGCTAGATTCAACTTGGAACTTCGTGATCACATAAAAAAACAACAAAAAACGGAGTGACAAAAGGACGCTTTTTCCATTCACACCGCTATTATTTTTACTACCTTCACTCCTCATCAATGTTTATTGTTTTAAAAAGAGATGATTAGTATTAAAATAAAACCTTAACATATGATGAAAGTGAACTTATACAGTTTTTTTCTTGAGAATTTACAATAGAAATTTTAAACATTATTTATTTATCAGATTGTTTTACAAGAATAATTTTATATTTACAACATTTTAAAAACTAATGCAATGCAATATTTATCATTTACCAATTAATAAAGAAATAAATACAAAAACAATTTTTATTCATAAATTTATAAATATTTACTAAATTATTAAAATATGTGAACCAACTGTAAAGAAATCCTTATTTACCATTTTATAAAGTTCGAATAAATTAACAATTCGTAAATGTTTGCCAACTTTTCCAATAAACAATCTAATAAATAAATTGTTTTTATTATTTTTGTTGTCAGCTTTTAAATCCGTTTTATTTATTACAATTTATTTTTGTGCATTTTGTATTTATTGATTAATTATTCATTATTGATTATCATTATGAAATTTACTGAGTTGTTGTTAAATCTTTTTATTCGTAAAGTTTGTCTATTTATTATTTATTGTTCACACTGTTTATATAAATATATGTGTATATGTATGTAGCTCCTTAATCAGACCCTCCCGTGCTCGTACAAGTGCCTACCCCCCCTCTAAATTGAGGATTTACGGTATGTTTAATAATGTCATTTACAAAAAAACAAAAACAAAATTTTCTTGTCTGCCTCTTTGAATTATAAGAATTGGTTTTTCTACTTGTGACGTCATGGAAAAATTTTCATCCTCAAGCCGACATAGGCAACTAAAACACTTTGGAACGAAAGGTGAGGGGTGGAACGAAGCGCTATTTATTATGACCGTATACCTGCGAAGTTATTTTCAAGTCTCACTTTTCCTGTTCCACCCTACGCTGCTTCTCTTTCGATACTTCTCGCTCTTCTCTGATCGACCTTGACCCCACCCTCCTTGACTCCCTTTATATTTAACTTTTTCTTTGGCGAGTTTTTTTCTCTTCGATCTCGTTTCTCTTTTTCTTCTCCTCTCAGTCATTCTCCTCTTGCTGTTGCATTCGTTTCCCCCCTTCCCTTCCTCCTCCTCCTCACCTCCTCCTCCCTTTCATATTTTCATCTCCTTTCTTCGTGTATTATATGATATCGTCTCCACCTCTTCCGACTGCCCTCTTCTCTCTCTCACTTTTATTTCTTTTCTATCACTTCTTTCTTTTGGCTCTTCGAACTCGGCCACTTGTTTCTCATTTTCTTTTCATTTCTTCTCGTTTCTCTACAATTATTTTTGCAGATTTGTTTCCTCCCCACTCCAACTTCTCTCTCTCCCCCCCTCTCTCTCTCTTTCTCCTTTTCATTTTGTTGGCGTCTTGTTTAATGACGAAGAAGGGCTGAAACTAAAACATTTGCTCAACTCCATCGACATATTTAAACAGCTGGGAATTTTCCTTGTCCCTTCTAATATTACTTCTCTCTCTCTCTCTCTCTCTCTCTCACTTTGTGTCTCCCTTTCTCGACCATACTTCCCCAGGGTGGGATTCAGTTGTTCTACTAGAATCGCTGGTGAGATGCAAAGAAATAAAGATTTGGTTTATTGCCACTTCCTTTCCGAAAGAGACGCCCAGTGAACACAAGATCATCACGAGAAGAAATTTATAACTATTTTTAAAACGCTTCGGCATAAGCATTTCCACTCAGATGAGTCAGAGATTATTTCAAATGCCCCATTGCAGATGCCATGTTCGTAAAGCTCATTAACATTAAAGACAAAGAAAACTCAGATTTTAAATAAAGACGAAAGGACATTTATATTCTGTTTGTTTCTTCCCATCCCTATTGATGAGAGTAGGGGATCATGGACAATTGTTATCGCCTTGCTATTCAAAGTTGTCCTTCTACTAGAACGGTTGGCAATCACAGCTAGAGAGCACAATCTACCCTACTATTTAACCTATAGCTGAATGGTGTAGAGATGGATTCATACCTTTCCGTTAGTGAATATGATGAACTCAAATGGAATTTATCATTACGAACCGCTATCCATTACATCAGCCGCACATCCCATATATATGGCCTCTTCGGTAGCGCAATTTTTTCTTTAAGATTTCTCGAATATTCAGACTGCTAGATGAACATAAATAAATATACTGCTTAAATAAACGTCTACTCAAATATGAATATCCATTAAAAATAACGTTTAAGTAATGAAAATCTGTCGGATTAATAAATTTAAAAAATCCCTTTCTTTACAAATTGCTTTGTTTACGTTAGCTTCCGAAACTGAGCATATATATCCATTTCAAGAGTCAGAGAGAAATATGGATTTTAATGCCATATATATATATATATATATATATATATATATATATATATATATATATATAAAAAAGAAATATGTTGCAGTGGTTCCAACGAGAGAAAAGTATGTATATTAAAAAGAAGAGGGTGCCGCAAACGTTTTTGGTTGTAATGTGGATTTATTGAGAAAAAATATTATACTTTGTTTAACATAATTTCACGACACGTGTTTCTGGTCTGGTCTCGCAACCGTCTTCAGGTGAAAGTGGAGATTTTTACATATTATTAAAAATAATTAATTTTTCTTCATGTTCAATGTGGAATATTCTCGATATGAGACATTCTGTTTGTGTGTTGGCAATATATAAAGGGAAGAGGTTATAGTAGTTAGTAGTTCCAACGAGAGAAAAGTGTGTATATTAAAAAAGAAGAGAGAAACCGCAAACGTTTTGGGTTGTAATATGGATTTAAAAAAAATATATTATGCTTTATTTTCCATATATATATATATATATATATATATATATATATATATATATATATATATATATAACAGAACAAGGACAAAAGTCCCTATAAACATATCTCCGCAAATCCTTCGTTTTTGATTCAGAGGGCTAAAAATTTACGGTAGACGCTGTTAAATGTATTATCTAAGATGCAATTCAAAAATACTTTTACAAACTTTGGGGCGGGCTCCTGACCCCAAACAAGGTAAAATGTCCATACAAAAACATATGTCCAAAGGCCATCGCTTTATCTCAATATAACAGTTAGTTATGTGCCATGCGTGATACACACTTAGGTGATCATGTATCTTTCGATACACGACTGACGGGGCAGATTTTTTTCCCGCAGTATGTTCTTTCTGCGGTAGACCAGTTGCCATCCAAGGCTAAAGAACCCGGTCTGTCCTGCTATTTACCCACAGATGGGGTGGGGGGAGAAAAGGATTCATACCTTTCCCAAGTGTATTCAAAATATCACCCGCTTGCTTCTACACACGCATGTACCCGTCGGATCATTGACTGGCGGATCCTTTCAAATACACCGACACGGTGTCGACTGGTTCGCATACCCCCTGACACGATGATGAAGCGTCTCTTCATTATTAATATCTGGTGCATAAACCAATTGTTTTACTCGATACTAAAGATAAAAATTCAAAGGATTGAGGTCAGTGGAACGTGCAGGCCATGGAACCTGCCCTCCCCTACATAGGCATCTTTTATGGTAGATGTCAGTGAGTGCTTCGGGAACGTGACTAAAATGTGCTTGAGTCCCATTTCAATCTGTTTCATGCCTCGAATGAAACCATGAAATAGACTGTCACCGCTGGGTGTTGACTTCAATCTCCACTATATATATATATATATATATATATATATATATATATATATATATATATATATATATATATATATATATATATATATATATATATATATATACGTCAAGCTAAATGAAGGTTCCGTATAGGATACAGGTTCGAATCCTGTCGGAGGACGAGTATTTTCTTTTCTGAAAAAGCCTCGGACATTCAGGCCAGTAAATGCTGTTTAATAGTTTTTATTATAAAACAGAGCATTTACTTAAATATTTGTATCTATAAAAAGAATGTATAAACATAAAAATGTCTTAATATAATTGTCGTACTTTGTCCATTTCATAATATATATATATATATATATATATATATATATATATATATGTATATGCATGCATGTGTGTGTGTATATATATATATATATATATATATATATAGATAGATAGAAAGAGAGAGAGAGAGAGAGAGAGAGAGAGAGAGAAAGATATATATATATCGCAATTTTGGTTGAATACTAACAAAAGCGATTTGTTTAAGTTTTTTATTTGATTTTTCTACGGTTCTGACCATTTTTCTGGTTTTCAGGGAGAATTTGAACATAAATTCTCCCATATCTTTTAAGCGTTTTCGCCTTTCATAAGTCATTAGCAAATGCATATTCCTAGACACAGCCCGAACAACACAAAAATAAAACTCTTTGACAATGACTAATGAAAATGCTATGACTGCTAGTATATATATTTATTACTTCAGAGTTTATTTTTGTAGACACTCGTTTTTGAAATAGACGCCCCGTTTTTCTTTTAAACAGTGTGCATTAAATCTACCGGAGAAGCCATGTTTTAAGTTATTACCCAGACGTAATATAATATTTAATTTTTTTAAAAATGAGGCACCTATTTCAAACAGGAGTATCCACTAAAAAATAACGTTTGAATTAATAAAAATATCGGATTAAGAAGAAATCCATTTATGTCCGCGTATGTGGGTGCGCATGCGCACGTGTGTATGCGTCTGTGCGCGCATGCGTACGTTCTATCCGCTAGAAAGGGCGGCGGTAGTATTAATCTCTCTACGACAAGTTTGGAGACGTTTCTCGCTAAACAGTTAGTAATAGGCGTTATTAAATATCAGAATAAACAGGCAAGCCTCTTTCTTACTTCCTGTTCAAACTTATAAGTACATGTGCTATGAAGCAACGATATTAATTAAGTAGCACATTAAAATGTCCACCTAACTTAAGCCCGTGAACTGTTTTTATTTACACTTTCATATGGTTCGCTGTTTATAAGTAAGTGGCTTAGCTTCTCCGCTTCGTACGATACGAAAAACTCCGCTTATAAATCATTATTCAGAAACTGTCAGTAGTTCAAGCAATAAAAAGTTTCTTATAGTCTATTTTTCCTCAATAGGTTCGGTTTACACTCCTCCCTGGTCTTTTGAACGAGAGTCGAGGTTTATCCCTTGTTCCATGTTTAGAATCGGATTTCCAGTTCCTTCTAATGTCTTTTCATTCTCTTTCCACTCCCCTTGCGTCTTATCGCTTTGCTTGGGGTGAAGTGATCAAAAAAGCCCTCTGCCGAACAAAATGTCTCTGCAAAATGATTATGTGACCAAAAAATGGGATCATTTACAGAAATTAACAATTGCTATTATTAACACATGTTTTCTTGGGATTGATATATCAACATCTGTTATTAATATCAATAGGTACCCAAAATACAATCAGTTTAAAATGGAATCCAGGACAAAAGGCCTCGCGTTCACAGTACAACAAAATGCATATTGCAAACTGCTTTGAAATTTCTGTGCATCACCTCAAGGGATATTATCAATATTTGATGAAAGATAAGGGCTAGTATCCTCGCTTTTGCTGTTTTGGTCTACAATTTTCAGCCAGCAGGTTTTCCGATCTTCCGAAGTATATCAAATAATTTTAAAGTGTGTTTTTTTTTTTTTTTTTAGAGTTTATCTTTTTTCCGGGCTTAATGGATAGATAACGACTAACCTTTGACCGTAGTTTATGGATCATCCTAACGAGAGTATTAGCGAAAACCCTATCTTGGCTTGAGTTTTTTAGTTGTTTTAGATATTTATTGAAAGTTGGCGTCCTTTTAAGGTTTTCTATTCTACACTATTTCATGCACTTTATGCTGAAGACCTGCATCTCATAAACTGCAATTCCTTTCTGGAAAATCTATCACCTTTTAATCTTGCATTCTGGAAAGTGTGCGTTGGTTGATTTTGTTTAGCAGCATATCAATCTCTAGGGGTTATTTTATGCCAAAATCTAAATATTTTAACACAATTTTATGGCTTCAACTGAATATATACTATAAATAGGCTATAAATAAACTGGTAATTTTATTAAAATAGGTATCATTGGTAATTTTATTATAAATAGGTATCGTTGGTAATTTTACTATAAATAGATATTGATGGTAATTTTATTATAAATAGGTAATGTTGGTAATTTTATTATACATGTATGCATGTAGAGTAAAAATACCAGTAATACCTATTTATAATAAAATTACCAATAATGGTTATTTATGCCTGGTATTTCTTATATAAAAAGTATTTTTATACTTTCATAATGTTTTGTTTTTGTTTGGGGGGGTGTCATTAATTGCCCATGTCTGGGACCCTAACAGGTGCTACCACCCTGGGTCAGGATGGACCTGGGAATAGAAGAGGTGGTTCAACGCTACTCAAAACCACCAATCTCCCGATAAGAGACCTTGCTGCAGGATGTAGTTTATCGTCATACACAGGACTAGGAAAGGGTGCGGCAGCGCGTCTGTTGCAGAAGGTCGACCGCCGAAAATACAATGTCTGTGGCTCTGTGCTTGTTATATTCTTCTTCCGAGTCACTGATTGTTGAGTTAGATCGTCTGAAACTCTACGAAATGCTTACTGTGTTAAATCTCACTTTCGGCAGAAGATACGTGAAACATATTCTATGTTACATTAGGTCTTCTTTATTATATTAATCCCGCTTTACTAATCAAGTGAGTATTAATCAATACAGATTCCTTTTTAATTTTACAGGTTTATTCAAAATATTTCGATTCTTTATTTGAGATAAATTACAATCTTTTACTAAAGTCTGCTAAGAAAGTTGGTTCACTGTGTCGTGCGAAACAATTTTTCTAACCAGAATCTATGTTACATATCTATAAAACTACCATTCGTCCATACGTCGAATAATGCTGCCACATATGATCCGGTACTCCGGCTTTATATTTAGAGATTCTCGATAAAATCCAAAGACAAATCAGCAATATTATTGGTCCTGACCTGGCGTCTCGACTTCAGTCACTTTCCCACCGCCTTAAAGTGGCTTCCTTGTGTCTTTTCTATAAATACTTTCATGGTAATTCTTCGGATAAGCTCTTTGTTATGGTACTTAGACTTCATGGGTTTAAGCGCAGTTCTAGATTAGCAACAAGATCCCATCGGTTTACAGTTGAATTGGCGAGGTGCGACCGTAAATTCTGTGCGGCGTGCTCACTTCTGGAACTCTGTTCCGGCTTTTTGATTTCCAGACAAGTTTGATCTTCAAAAATTTAAATGTAATGTCAGTCATTATCTACTGTTTTACTGATTACTCTTCTATTGTTCTCGCTCCTTAATAATGCTTCTGTTTTTTAATTCTTTCTCACCCAGTAATCGCTTGTGTCTTAGTGGTTTTACTGCCTGACATGGGGTGAATTCGATAAAATATATGCTGAAAAAAATGATCAGTTCATTCTATTGCTTCGGGAAGCACCAGACACCTTCTGCCAGGCTTTATCTTTAGAAGAGACAGATTAGATCAAAATTAGACCATTGGCGTCATATCTCGGTTGAAGCTGCTTAATTCTCACTCTCTAACCTTGAATTCAAAATCGTTTACGCGATCTTGTAGGGAATTACGTATTTTCCAATCTGCAATCTTTTACATTTTTTTCGTAAAATAAATACTTTTTTTCCGTCATTAGATTACAGACTTATTTACGTGCCTATGCGAGGAAACGATCCGAAAGTAATGCCTCCAACTTTTCCCGTAATACATTTTTGTTTTTTTTTATTTACACGGATATCATGATTGACGATACATTTTTGAAGTGCTCTTCTTTTCGTGAGATGGCACGTAGCTTGTTATACATATCATTGCCGCCACGCATTGGTTGCAATTATGGGTTACTGGCGGTAAGGCTCATTTGCTGCTAACATATTACCAACAGCTGCCTCTGACGTCAAGGAATATTGTTGTATATTTGGGTCAGTGTTTGTGGCTAGCTAACTTTAACGTTAAGTCCGTCCTTTTCCCAATTCCCTTTTTCAGCCTTTGTATTATCACAAGAATAAATATCGATAAAATATATGCTGGAAAAAATGGTCACCTCATTCTACTGCTTCAGGAATCACCAGATTCCTTCTGCCAGGCATTATATTTAGAAGAGACTGATTAGACCAAAAAATGGAGTATTGGTGTCATATCTGGGTTGGAGCTGCTCAATCCTCACTTTTCAGCCTTGAGTTCAAAATCGTTTACGTGGTCTTGAAAGGAATTACGTATTTTTCAGTCCGCTATTTTTTCTAACAGGCGCAACGTTGCAAAGCCTGCGGAATTTACTTAAAAGATATCAAAAAACAGCCTGATTGATTGATTATTTTTCTTTGCGGTTCATCAACATTTTTCCAGGTTATTTAAGGCCAAGAAATATTTTTTTTTAATTGTAAGAATTTATTGAAGATAATAATGAAATTTACGTTTACAAGTTTTACTAATTAACCCGTAGCGAGGGTGATTCATACCCTTCCGAAGGGTATTTGCGCCTAAGTGAATATAACGAACCCGAATGGAATTCGAACTCGACTCTCCGATTTCTCATCCCGAGACGTTATCCATTACATCACCCTCACATCCAAGCTTACAGCATCTAGTATTCTCAAGCGGTCACGCATCTAGGTATTGACCAGGCTCGATGTTGCTTAACGCGATATAGCCCAAAGCCTGTTCGTATTTTGAGATATGTAATGCTAAATTGACATTGTTTTTATCTAAAATTGGTTTTCATTCTAGAATTTTTCCTGAGACACATTTCTCTAGACGTCTATAATAAATCTCTTATATACGAATTTCAGTTTATATACCATAATTGAAGTGTTAGCGTAAAGCCTATGTTGGCTTGAGTTTGTTACCTCTTGCATATTTTCTCTGATATTTTAACCTCCTTTAATATTATCCATGTTATGCCATTTTATGTTTTTTTAAGTTGAACTTCAATAAGCCAATCATAAACTGTGTGTCCATTCCGTCCTGAAGAATATTTTACCTTGAGTTCTGCAGGGATGGGCGGACTGCAACAACGACAGCGAAAAATACAATGGCTGTAGCTAGCTGTTGGAGATTATCGGAATAACATCTATCTATATTTGTTGATCAGTCAGTTCATTATCAATCTATCTATTCATCAGTCAATTAATTATCTATGTTGCTTCATCGGTCAGTTCATTATTTACCTATCAATATTTGTTCATCAGTCAGTTCATTATCTATCTATCTATCTATCTATTCATCAGTTTATTCATTATCTATGTCGGTTCATCAGTCTGTTCCATATCTATCTATCTATCTATCTATCTATCTATCTATCTATCTATGTTCATCAATCAGTTCATTATCGACCTATTTATCTGTTCATCAGTCGATTCATTATCTATCTATGTTGGCTCATCAGTCAGTTCATTATCTACCTATCTATATTTCTTCATTAGTCAGTTCATTATCTACCTATCTATATTTGTTCATTAGTCAGTTCATTATCTACCTATCTATATTTCTTCATTAGTCAGTTCATTATCTACCTATCTATATTTGTTCATTAGTCAGTTCATTATCTATCTATCTATCTATCTATTCATCAGTTTATTCATTATCTATGTCGGTTCATCAGTCTGTTCCATATCTATCTATCTATCTATCTATCTATCTATCTATCTATCTATGTTCATCAATCAGTTCATTATCGACCTATTTATCTGTTCATCAGTCGATTCATTATCTATCTATGTTGGCTCATCAGTCAGTTCATTATCTACCTATCTATATTTCTTCATTAGTCAGTTCATTATCTACCTATCTATATTTGTTCATTAGTCAGTTCATTATCTACCTATCTATATTTCTTCATTAGTCAGTTCATTATCTACCTATCTATATTTGTTCATTAGTCAGTTCATTATCTATCTATCTATCTATCTATCTATCTATCTATCTATCTATCTATCTTCGTTCATCAGTCAGTTCATTATCATTTATTTCCCCGAAACATTAACTTTTATATAAACTTTATATGCGGAAGATTTTTATATTTCTCATTCCAGCAAGTAAGTGGGATTGAAAAGACAAACAAGAAGATGTGTCGTCCAAATCAAAACAAAATCCAATGTTTACAGTAGAAGAATCAATCTAAAAATGTTCATTTGAAGAGAAGATCAGATGAAAAAATAGAATCAGGAATTTTTAAATATTAATAACTGATTTGGGTTTCCCCACTTTTAACCCCTGGTTTATAACCCCCCCCCCCCCGCGCCACCATATTTTTATTATTTTGGGGCACAGATCAATGTTCGCAATCCTGACCTCAAACATTATCTACTGGTGGCTGATGTAAACCAATTACCGTTTCGACTACCGAGCTGGCCAGGGTTCGTCCTTCAGTTTTGACCTTGTAGATAACAATACAAATCAGAGACACGACCGACGACACTTAGCGATGGAACCAAGGCATATTATTACAAAGTTAATGATCCGTCTGACTGATAAGTAAAGTAACTTAATAGCATATTGTCTGATGTTGCCAGTGACATTTGATGCCGGAAATTTCCATGCATTGGTAAGAAGCTTATTTTGTCTATGTCATAACTGAATATTTCATATTCTAAATTATCTAGAGCTTTGTTTTGTCCTGAAGTTAAATAGTCGAAGTTCATAAAACCTCTTTTTTTTAAGGATTTCATCCCAAGCAAATTGAGAGTGCCACAAGTACACAAGGGACTACAGAGAGTGTAAGGGAAAGCATTGCGTATAGGGGGTGAGGAAAGGATAAAAATAGGAACAGAGGAGGATATTAAGAAGAACGAAGATCAAGGCAACAGAAGATGTCGATTGACATTACATTTAAATTTTTGAAGATTATAATTATCAGGGAAGCAAGTAAAAGGAAGGGAGTTCCACTGTCGGGAAGTGCGAGAAGAAGCTGTTGGAGTAGAAGAGGCGGTTACATTTAACTGTTTCGACAGCAAAATGCCTGGGACCTAGATGCCAACCTAGTAGCTCGCTTAAATTCACGCAATCGGGAACCAGTGAAAATACCTTGTCAGAGAAAATAACATGAAAATATTTATAGAAAAGGACAGAGGAAAGGCACATTAGGTCGGTGAGAAAGTGACTGGAGTCGGGACCCCAAGTCAGAACCGATCGCGTTGTATATCTGTCTTTGGATTTTTGTCGAGAACCTCGAGATGAACAGAGGGGGACACCAGACCATATATGGCAACAATATTCCATGCATAGACGAATGGTAGATTTGTAGATGTAAAGGATGGACTCAGACGAGAAAAACCTTCTGGCGCGACACAGAGAACCAACTTTCCTTGCAGTAGATGCAGCTATTGATTCAATGTAGTTATTCCACCTCAGGTCAATGGAGAACCGAGAAGGCGCAATGAGGCGCAATGAGGCGATCTCGTAATGATGAGCATCAACCATGCTGATAGGAGGCAGGGACGTTTTTCCATGTTGAGTAAATGACAGCAGTTTCGTTTTGGATGCATTAAAATTCACATGCCATTTCCTGCTCTAGTCAACCACAGATTGGAGTTCGTTTTCGAGACCAATGGCCAGGTTAACTTTGTCGGCAATGCCGAATTTACTATTGAGACTGAAGTAAATGGTAGTATCGTCTGCGTAGATGCCAACTTGAGAACTGATGACGTCATGAAGATCATTGATGAAGATCAGAAACAGTGTAGGACCAAGGATAGAGCCTTGGGGAACATCAACATTCGTATGAAAGGAACTGGAAGAGAATTCTTTCAGGACAACCTTCATTTCCCAATTAGACAGGAATGATTAGATTAAATCAAATAATCATCCTGTAATATCGTATCCGTAAAGCTTACGTAAAAGGCCAGCATGCCAAACTCTGTTAAACGTCTTCGATATATCTAGAACAACAGCTCGAGCTTTGCCGTTATTATCAAGAGCTTGGTATACATATTCAGGTATGGCCATAAGCACATCAGCGGTAGATTGGGCAAAGCGGAAACCATATTGTTTGTCAGAGAAAAGATTAAAGGAGGTAAGATGCTTAACTTACTTCGGCATTGATTAAAGCCTCGAAGACTTTACCAAAGAGTTGTAGGAAACTGATGGGGCGATACATAGATGGGTTAGAAGGGTCTCCAGAGTTCTTAAAGACCAGAACTACAGTGGAAGACTTCCAACAGGCTGGAAAACAAGGCAATAGTTGTAGAGTTTGGAGAGAACTGAGTTCGAATTCCATTACATTCACTTACGTGCTAATACCCTTGGGAAAGGTATGAATCTTCTTCTTCATCCCCGGCTATGGGTAAGTAGCAGGACAGACTGGGTTCTATAGCGTTGGGTAGCAACCGGCCTAGGAGATAGTAACTCTGAATTCAAAACCGGCCTATCCGTTAGGCTATCTTGCCCAAGCAACACCACTTCTATTGTGCAGTATATGTGGTGCCCCTGCCACTCTGATGGGTCCCGGGATGTGCGCGCGCGATATTCGTTATTATTACCTTATCTTCTGTAAATGTCGGCATATGGTAGATTGTGATGTGTTGAATATTTTTTGCTAATTCCCGGGTATTTTGATTGCTTTCCACTATGGACTTTAGAGCTCCATCCTCAATGTCCGACAAACGCTCGGTTCTGGGTCCATCTTCCAACAACGTTTTTCCAGAACAATTTATTATTATGATGATGATGATAAAATATGGGCACACATTAATTATATCATATGCACTTCAAGATACCTTTTCTTGTGAATGATATTTTATTTAATGTCGGCTGTTTATTTTGTATAATAATAGTATCTAGAGTTTTGAGACTTTCCTTGGATTGGGTGCTGTAAAGTATTTTGGTGATGTCTACTAGACATAACAGTTGTACACTTGTCGTCCATGATTACCTTATCAACAACTTTTCTCCAGAACAAAATTTTGCAAATCAATTTCTTACTTATGTCTCTTTGACCACAAACACTAAATATTTTCTAGGTATTTTCATAGCGTTATTCCCTTGCCTGAACACCCATAACATTATGTGACGGAAATGCGCTTTCAATCTCGCTATTATTGGGGTGAAGAAATTTATACATTAATCCACTGTGTACGCTGCTACTACCATGTAAAAAAAAGGGGTTGGAAAAAATAACTGAAACACTTTTTAAATTCAAAGAAAATTTATTTAATATGAAGTTGATCCTCCTTTATCCTCACAGCTTCAATACGTCTAGGAATTGAATCATACAGCTTCCTGACTTCATCCAGAGGAATTTTCAGCCATTCTTCCATAAACACCTGCTCCAGCTCTTTAAGATACGACGGTGGAAGATAGCGGCTCCTAACTTGTTGCTCCAAAATGCACCACAAATGTTCAATAATATTGATATCTGGAGATTGGGGAGGCCACTCCATGTGTTCTAGCTCACTTTTATGCTCTTCATACCAATTCTTAACCACTCGAGCGGTATGTATTGGAAGATGCAGTCACCATCAGGAAATAAAGTCTAGGCCATTGGATGAAAATGTTCAGGTAATCTTTGCTGTTGAATCTACCATGCAGGGCAACTAATGAACCGAGACATTTCCATGATATGGCGGCTCAAACTATCACTGATCCACCTCCATGCTTCACTGTTGGAAGAAGGCAGTCAGTGTTGTAAGCTTCTTTGGGCTGCCTCCACACACTTCCCTGAAGTTGGGAAAAGAGAAAAACTGGACTCGTCTGAGAATATGACTTGCTTCCATTGGTCTGTAGACCAGGTATTGTGATCTCTGCACCACTTCAATCTCTTCTGAATGTTGCGAGTGGAGAGAAGAGGTTTTCTTACGGCAGCTCTTCCATGATATCCAGTCTTATGGAGCTCACGATGGACAGTTTTAGTAGAAACTGGACTATTCAGATGATTATTCAACTCAGCAATCACTTTGACCGCAGTTGTCCGATAATTTTTTGCCACATTGCGTTTCAGTGCACGTCGGTCCTCGTCAGTTAGTTTGCAAGTCCGGACAGAATTGCTACGGTTGCTAGAGATTGTTTTGCCCTGTTTCTCGAATTTTGTCATAGTTCTTGATATGGTAGCTCTTGAAAAACCAAACAGTTCAGCAACCTTAGTGATCGAGGCTCCTGCCGTGCGATCTCCAACAATTTGCTCTTTTTTGAACTTGAGGAGGTCACGCATTTAGCTTAAATTTTACTAAATTCTTAAAATAAATAAGACAAAGACAGTAAATTAGATAAATAAACGTATTTACAATAGATATAACCAGCAATTACGAAGTTTTAGTTAAAGTTCTTAATATAGTAGGTCTTTGAAATATAGGAGAGGAATTTTCACTTATTCTAATTATTTTGTCCAACTCCTTTATTTTGGTGTACTTCAAATCTATTCTTAACTGCTACGTATGATTAGTAGACACGATGATACATTCGCTATTATGATTGATTCCCTAAAACGGAAATTACTTACGACTCAACCTAATAAATAGATGCAAACAAAAAAAATCTGAATATATGTAGGCATCTTCTAATTTGCTCGTTGTGGAGTAATGGATATCGGCTCGGAATCAGAAATCGGAGAACCGAGTTCGAATTCCAGTCGAATTCGTTACATTCACTTACGCACAAATACCATTGGGAAAGGTATGAATCCAATTAGTCTCTCCCTAGCTGTGGGTCGAATAGCAAGACAGACTGGTTCCTTGGTTGGCAACTAGTCTCCCGCAGAATGAAATGGCAAACGACTGGGGAAAAATCTTCTGTACGAGTCAGTGCATGAATAGACATGATCGCCCAAGCGTGTATTACGTATGACACTAAACTGATTGAACATGTTTAAAATAATTTTCTCATAGAATTGCATCAGAATTAACTATAATAAATACTGGAAACCACATCACTTGAGGACATTCAACAGCAACAACAAACAAAATGCAACTCGAAGAGAAAATAATAAAATAACCAAAATGCTGCCATTCTACACGACTTCAAACAAAAGGTTAAGAAGGAAACCCCCATTAACATTGGAAAGAGTCGTAAGAGCTACTAGACTTGAGAAACCTGTTTTCCTAAAAAAAAAAATATTTTAAGAGAAAGATTTTTATAAATTTCAATCGAAGGTAGAACTGTGTGCACGGACAATGAATGCCGAACGTTTCCTTATAAGGAAACGGCTATTATTAGCATATCCATTTATCAAGCTTTCTCATGCTACCCTGACACCGAACTCTGTCAGAGGTTGGGGTTTAACGATATTTCACCACTGATGTGCATTTACTTTGTTTACAATATTTTGCTATGACTACGGCTGTCATGAGCGTCCTGTGGTTTTGACATGTCCTCGAAAACAAAGGGATGACTAGACACTTTGACATTTATTTATTTATATATTTTTTTTTTGCTTTATTTAAAATATTGCACGCAATAGTTTTTTTTTTAATTTTTATCTCGGGATTATGTTTATCTTGCTTTGATTTTGAAATATCCTGAATTCTGATGCGTAATTGTTTTCACATTATTCCAGAAATACTTCACACCTACCCACCCGCACCTGGACACATGTGTGTGAATATATGCACATGGCGTATATACATTGGCGCCACGCGAACAAGGCTTGCATATCATTACTCGAGGGTTCGTTTCTCGATATTTGTAGACTTATACCAAAGCTAAGCTACATTTCTACTACTTCTTCTTTTCTTTTTCTTTTTTTCTTCTTTTTTCTTCTTTTTCTTTTTTCTTCTTTTTCTTCTTCTTTTTCTTTTTTTCCTTCCTTTTCTTTCTTCTTCTTCTTCTTCTTCTTTTTTCTCCTTCCTTATCTTTTTCTTTTTCTTCTTCTTTTCTTTTTCTTTTTCTTCTTTTTTCTTCTTTTTCTTCTTTTTCTTTTTCTTCTTTTTTCTCCTTCCTTTTTTTCTTCTTCTTCTTCTTTTTTCTCCTTCCTTTTCTTTTTCTTCTTCTTCTTTGTACCGTGTCCCTTCAGAACGTAGGCAGTCATGGCTCTCCATAATTTCCTGACCTATGTAGCACTTATTAATTAAAAAGAATGTTTTTTTTTTATTGCTCTCTCCTAATCCTTGTTCTGCGAACCATTTCAACAAATTCCTTAGGTTATGCTCTGCTTTTCTCTTTTTCCCTCGACCTTCAATATGTTATGTGAGTGTCAATTTTATAAGCTCTCTTTCCTTCGTTATGCACTTTGTGAAGAACCATAATTGTCCACGTCCTGACTGAAGGATGAAGGACCCGAGCACATAGAAAAAGAAGAATACCAAACACAACACACACACACACACACACACACACACACACACACACACACACACACACACATATATATATATATATATATATATATATATATATATATATATATATATATAAACAGTCCAATGTTTCCAGGAACCAATAAAACTGTCAAAATGACCAAGGGAATTCAGAGCAGCTTGAATCCATCCAACACTTATCTCAAATAACAACTTAAAAGAGTCTGTTTGACCAACACAAGGATTGGCCAAAAATTAATGTTAAAAAAAAAACAAATGAAAACTACAGACAAAAGTTCATTTTCTCCATCAAGACATTCGTTTCTGTAGTTCACTGCTACCAGCAAGCAGAATTTTTTTTTCTCCTGATGATGGCCATGTTGGACGAAACTAGTCGAGGAATCTAAATGAAATAATAATAAAAACGAAAGAATATTAATATACAACCCAGTGTGTCTGAAGATTTTAATTTTTTAATATTTTTTGTTGTTCAATATATATATATATATATATATATGTGTGTGTGTGTGTGTGTGTGTGTGTGTGTGTGTGTGTGTGCGCGTGTGTGTCTGTCTGTGTGTGTGTGTAAGGAATTCATGAATTTTATTTTATTTTAAATCCGTCCTTATTTTTTGGTGCAAACCATATCTCTTATTGTTTTACAGGTGATATTTTAGGCTAAGTTTGGATAGGTTATTTTCACTGGTGGCTGTTATGGAGTTGGTAGGTAAGATTATGTGCCTACTTTTGTTATGATTGCCGCTGTTATTACTATCTATGTATTTTTGAGTTTTTCTTTGGTGAATTTTGTAGGCTTTGCATTTGGCATTGTATGGGAAATAATTTGGGTGTTGGAAGAGTTTGAAAGTGTTTTCAATGTATTTCTCTTCCTCCGGCAGGAATTGGGGCCTGCAACTTCTAAGGGCGTTTAAGTGAAAGCCTGTGATTACTCCTGATTGCTGATCATCGCACAAGCAATTGTATCAGAATGTGGTATACGAGCAAATAGAGAAAAATCAGGAAACTACTCGGAGTGGACTGATTTAAAATCAAACAGATACCATCGGCTCTAATACATAAAAAAAACACTTTCTGGTCTCTGGTCATCAGATCTGATAAGGTAATTTAATTTATTGCCCCTCTTATCCTCAAAAATCATAAGGCATTTCCTTTCCAACGTACAATTTTGCCGTTCGTTCCAACCTGAAGAAACCGAAGGTAATACAATTCTAGCCAGTGTCCATGGTATTCGCAGCATCCTTCTGCACTCTTTTTTTTAAGTAAATACCCATCCATTTTCTAGGCCTTGATTACAGGGCAATCAATAAGCATGTGAAATAAGGAAAGAGTGAATGGAATTGGAGAACAATGACGACTGGCAAATATTCAGATACCTCCTTGAAAATTGGCATTCAAAATCTTGTCTTTTCTCCTGAGCTCGAACATCTACTTCACAAATTATGTAGTATTATGATTAAACACCTCGAACATCGTCCACTTTCGTCTTCATCGTTTGTTTTTCAGACGTTCCTTCTTCCGGTAAAAACCCAGAATACCCCCTCCCTCCCCATTGCGCTCGGATACAGAATAAAAGATTAAAACGGGGACGTTTCATTGATTATTTTAATTGTAGCATCAAATATATTGAAATTTCCTTGTTCCACCTTATATTTTTATTAAGGCATAATTGTTGAAGATCAACAATTCTAAATTGTCCATAAGAACAGATAATCTCAGATATTAAATGAATTAAAATAAATCTTTAAAAATATTTATTAACGATTTTTTCACAACACAAAATCTACAGAATATTTATTTAAAAAAAGTGATCAAAGACATACGAAACAAAAAAAATAGTCTAATTTTAGTTCCTAATTTAGGTCATCATTTACACAACTTAAAATTTAAATAAAAATTAAAATTTTCAATTGAATTGATTTGATTTCTCTTTAAAAATATAAATATCAAATGTTCAAATTATATTTTGAGATTTAAAAAAAAAAAGCTCAAATAATATTGGCTTCAAATTTCCGTAAAAATCTTAAAAATCCATTTTCATAAATAAATTAGATTATAAACAATAAGTATCCAAAAATAAGCGCGCGCGGGTGACAGGAGGGGGAGTAGGCGTTATTCTGTTTTTTTTTTTTTGTCGTTCATTCATTCGCTTACGTGTTTTCATGTCTTCATTCTTCACCTGCATTTTCTTCCTTTTAATTTTATCTCTTTATAATAATAACAACGGCATTTTCCGGTTGATAAACCTAAATTGGTGCAACACAGTCTTCCTTCAAGTATTTCTCCGATTTGATCATGTCACGTTAAGATTTATAAATATTGATAACAAAAGTTTTCATTTACTGCTGAATGGCAAATTATGAAAAATAAATTGTGGAATTTTCTGGTCTTTCTTAATATTTGGCGCGCGCGCGTGTGTGTGTGTGTGTGTGCAAAAGTCGCCATCACTTTCTTTACTTTTTAAATTAGAGACTAAATATGCAACAGGAATCCATTATTTTAATGTGGAAAGCTTTTGCCCACACCTAATTTTTGAATCACCATGATCTTTCTTTAAAACGTCTCTCCTACCTTGCTTTCTTTCGTCACTTTTTCCTAATTTTGCGAAAATAAATTTTTTTTCTTTCTTTCTTTTGTTGTTGTTGTTCTTGTTCTTGTTCTGCTTAAACGCACATTTACTATCCGTGAGGGCCTTTGTCTACTTTCCGGTGAATGTGCAAGGCGCAGTTGCATACCTTGACATATATTTGACGTGAATGAACGGCACGGCAAATGAATGGCCGGTATTTTTTATTCTCTACTTGTTTAAGTATTACACTGGTTTAACATTTGCGTCATACTCTAGGAAAACTATTATATTTCAATTTTATTTTACTCTTTTCTTTTCTGTGACGTGACCGAAACGAATTACAAGCGCAACATCTCTTGTCAAAATTACTTGGTATAATGCAGTCGTACTCAGACTTTAAGGTCACGTCCCTCCTCTTGTATATCAGGTTTCCTCGAATTATCTTTTATATCTTGTAACATTTAATTGTTTCTGGGATAGGTAAATATTGGACATTTTTATTTGAGTCTATAAGCATTTATTTGGTTCGGGGATAAGCAAATATTAGTCGTATAATTGTGAGTCTATCAGGGAGAGATAAATATTGGTCGTTTTTATTTGAGTCTGTAATAATTTACTTGGTTCGAGGATAGATAAATATTTAACGTTTATATTTGAGTCTATCAGCATTTACTTGTTTCAGGGAAAGATAAATATTGGTCGTTTTTATTTGAGTCTGTATGCAGTTACTTAGTTTGGAGATTGGTAAATATAAATCGTTAATTAATGACAGAACCTTTGCAGTCACTTTCTCACCGACGTGACATGGCTCCCCGCTATCATTTCTACAAATGTTTTCATAGCAATTGTTTGAATTAACTTTCCTCCTTGGTGCCTTGACGGCATGAATTTAAATGTACTACTCGATTGGCAACTAGGTCTCACCGTTTTACTGTTGAACTAGCAAGATGCAATCGTATCTTCTATTCTAATAGTTACCTTTCTCACACTTCTCGCTTGTTGGACTCCCTTCCGGTGTGATACTTCCTTGCCTCTTACAATCTTAAAAATTAGCTATGGGTAGAGTAGAGTACAGACTGATTTCTATAGCCCTAGGTGGCAACCGGTCTAGGAGAAGGAAAACTCTGAATTCAAAACTGTATGTACCCCTGGCGTGGCACATATTGTGCATCTAAAGAAAGAATCAATGATCCCGTCTACGGTCGATTAAAAATTAGAAGTAGACGATATCACTAGACATGGATAGCCGAACTCGGCTCGTCGATTTCACTTACCGCGCTGATAACTATATATATAAATGGTTCAGTTCAGAATTCCCAGTAGGTTACCCAGCTCGATATACACCTGATGAAACCCGCTGGTCACAACAAAGATGATTGATTGATTCGTTTTCTGTGGCTTATCAGCTCTTTGCGGGTTATTTAAAGGCAGGAAATATTTTTAGAAATATTTTTGGATTGTAAGAATTTTTTGTTGATTTTTGATAATAATAGTTTAGTGATACGAGTCTTACTAATCAACCCATAGCTTGGAGGGGAAGAGGTGGATTCATGCCTTTCCCAAGAGTATTTGCACGTAAGTGAAAATAACGAACCCAACTGGGATTGGAACTCGGCTCTCCGATCACCAATTCTGAGTCATTATCCATTACGCTACCGGCACATCAAAACTTACAGCACCTGGTATTCCCAAGCGGTCACCCATCTAAGTACTGACCAGGCTCGACGTTGCGTAACTTCGGTGATCGTACTGTAACTAGTATTTTAAAGTAATGTGGCCGTATGTCAACAAAGATGAGGACAATATTTCTAATATGAATAGTGCAAATAAGCATATTTGTTATTATTAATAATTTTTTTTTTAATTCCATTTTTGTTTGAGACATTCTAATCTTCTTTTATGGGCCGTGTTCCCTCAGGCCGTGAGCGATCATGGCGCTCTACGAATTCCTATCCTTGTATTCATAAGCAATGTTTGTCACCTTACCCTTCCTCGCTGTTCGTGTATTCATAGTGATTTTTCCAAGCGTAGCTTAGATGTAGCACAAGGCCGAAAGTATGGGGTACCCAGTGAGGATCGAACTCACTACTCAGCCGTAATTGTTCTAGCGAGACAAGCTTGCTAACCATTACACTGCCTCGAGGTGCCCCATGTATTCATAGGTTATTCACTGCTTTCATTTGCCTCTTTTACGTTCAATATGTCCTGTGAGTATCAGATTCTCTTTCATCATTATGTATCCAAACAGCCTCTTTCTGATTCTAGGTAAAAATCTCCTTTTCATTCCTATTAATAATAGTCATAAAACTGTTAAAATACCGTTAGCATCGTCCTATATGTATATATAATTCATCTAGTGATACTCGTGTCTTTATTGCTTTACTTGGGGTGCAATGATTAAAAATCAAACTTTCTTGTCATTTTTTTAAAAATAAATTTTATTACTTTGAATAGTTGAAAATATTTCAAAAGTTTTCTTTCCCTATTAGTTTCTTAAAGTTTTACGCTGTCGTCATTAGAAGCAATTATATTCCTCACAAATATACCTTCTTTTTCTTCTCTAGAAAGATGGCTACGAGAATTAATTGCAGTTTCCAGAAGAGGCTTCAAAATTTTTGTGATTTTTTTTTTCATTGGCTGGCGCCAAGTAACACTTTAGAGGCAAAAACAATCTCTCATTGCTAACAGCAGTCTTTAAATAACGACAAAACATTCACACAAGTCTAATTTTAGGACACAAAAATCGAAATTCAGCATCACTGTAAGCTATGAAAATAAAGGTAAGATATTAGTCGGTTTATTCTTCGAAGAGAAAAGGATGCAGTGCGGCGAACCAGTAATTCTTAGCGGTAGTCACTTTACTGATTCCTTTTGACCAAAGATCTAAATGCTAATCTTCATTGGAATTTATCCAGTGTCTGAGATATTTCTAAGTGTTTTCATGTTCGTTAGGATTTTGGTTATTACCATGACAAGTGGATCATATACTGCCACAAGTAATTACAGTTTTTAGATCCCGCCAACCTTCAGGCTGATTTCCCAAGCAAAAATCACAGAAGGGTAATCCACCCAAGGTTTATTGTGAACCACCGTCGACCAGTTTACCTTACTATTTTGATTTTTCTGCTTAACGTTCTACTTTAATTACGTCTGACTAAACAAATGGTTGTTAATCGATAAGACGCCATAGTTTTCTTTCTCTTTTTAGTTATTCGCAATGCCGTGTAACATCTTATGTAATAACATGCCAAAGATCCAGCTCTATTATGTATTTCAACATTATTTTTCTTACCAAACTTTCACAAGGCCCAAGAGCCATTAAAAGCAAAGTTACTGAATTGTTTTATGGACATAAGAGACATGTGAGGATATGTAGAATATGGTTTTGGAACCGTGGTATTATACTCAATTTGAAAGTTTGGGATTGACAAGATAAGTAATGATATCCAGCATTTTTTCCAAATCTTTACCGTTTTCTGAGGAAACGAGTTTAAAAATTAAATTTAGGCTCAAAATTGGAACGCTGGAATTTAATTCCGGTTATCAGTTAAAGCCTTATAGTACAGCTTTTTAAAAGTTATATTTGAAATATATGAAGTTAGTTGGTTTGGTTCGGTTTGGTTTGGTTTGTTTTGTTTTACGGTATATCAAACTTAATGGATTATTTGATGCCAACAACATTTTTATTGCTGGTTAGGTTTGGTTTGTTTTGTTTTACGGTATATCAAACTCAATGGATTATTTGATGCCCACAATATTTTTATTGCTGGTTAGGTTTGGTTTGTTTTGTTTTACGGTATATCAACCTTAAGGGTTTTTTTTTTATGCCGACAAGATTTTTATTGCTCGTAATTCTTTTTTTTTTTAATATATTGCTGGTAATAATTTTTTTACAAAATTGTATTGCTGGCATTAAAACCTATTTTTATATTTTCATAGTGTTTTGACCTCAGTTTTAAGGGTCAACTATTTGTCCATAGCTGAGACTCTAACAGGTGCTTCCACCTCGGGTCAGGGTGGACCTGGGAACACCAGCAATTAAGAGGTGGTTCTACGCTCCTCAACACTTCCTGATCAGAGGCATTGCTGTCGGACGTAGTTTATCGTCTTACCGAGAACGCGTATGTAGTTTATCGTCATACCCAGGACTGACAGTTGGTTTGAAATAAAAAGATATAAATTACATGACCAACAACTGTATAACTGATCCAAAGAATAAAGCAATAGTCGATCGAAATACAGACTGTTTCATTAAAAAATTACAGAGCAATGCATTCGTATTGCTTCCAGAAAATATTATTTTACAGAATACAGTAAAAAAAATTGCATATTTTGCTCACGGGGATTCATAATTAGAATTATGGTTTGTGAAAGGCTTACTGAATGAGAAGTAACCAAAACGGAGATTGCAAATGAAATGGTAATCTTTATAACATCCACAAAATACAATACTCGCCAGCGGCGTGAAGTAGGCAAACCACTGCTAGTGGTGGACTACTTAGACAACATATTACTCCCACTTACAATAGTGTCTAACGTATTTATGAGGATTGGGACATACCCATTAGTGTTCATAGGCACGGCATATAACAGTTTGAGAATATTTTCTATTCATTGTATCGAATACAAAAATTCACTGCATCAACTTTTGCGAGATTTTACAGCGGATATGTAGTCCTGGGTATGACAACAAACTACATCCGGCAGCAATATCTCTGATCGAGAGATTGGAGGTTTTGAGGAGTGTGGAACCATCTCTAAATTTCGGTTGTTCCCAGGTTTACCCTGACCCGGACTGGTAGCAGCTGCAAAAACTGCAAAACAGAACACTATGAAAGTATAAAAATAAATGTTTATAGTAAAATGACCAACAATACATTTTAGAACAAAATGACCAACAATATATTTTTATAGTAAAATGACCAACAATACGTTTTAGAACAAAATGACCAACAATATATTTTTATAGTAAAATGACCAACAATACATTTTAGAACAAAATGACCAACAATATATTTTTATAGTAAAATGACCAACAATACATTTTAGAACAAAATGACCAACAATATATTTTTATAGTAAAATGACCAACAATACATTTTAGAACAAAATGACCAACAATATATTTTTATAGTAAAATGACCAACAATACATTTTAGAACAAAATGACCAACAATATATTTTAGAGCAAAATGACCAACAATATATTTTATCCGTATTTGAAGACACGCAATTGCGTTGAAAATATTTAGATTGCGGCATTAAGTAACATATAGAGGTTGCAATGCCTCTAAACAACATCAACCATACAACCAACATGAAAATGATATTAATTCATATAATATCCTACAATTTCTTAAAGAAGTGAAACTGTATTTCAAAATATAACTTCAACAAAACTACAATATAAAACACACATATCACCGCCTCTTGGAACTATATCCACACAAACATGTATATTCACAAAGGCTAAGTATTATCTACCATGTATTCAATTATGAAAGTAGAGTAACATATATCATATTTTTATTACTTCAAGGCTCCCATGAAAATTAAATTTCGGCATGAAATGACCCATGAGGAGTTGATATGTGTTTAAACAAATAAAAAACAGCGGATATGGAATGCTTTTAAACTTATGAAGGAGTAGAAGAGACGGCTATATGTAACCGTTTCGACAGTGAAAGAGTGGGACTGAGATGCCAACCTAGTAGCACGTTTAAATTCATGCAGTTTGGGAACTAGCGAAAGTAGCTCGTAGGAGTAATTACCGTGAAAGTATTTGTAGAAAAGACAGAGGGAAGCGAAGGCACGTCTGAGAGAGAGAGAGCGACTGTAAACGAGATGCCAGATCAGGGCCAATCACATTGCATATCCACTTCTGGATTTTATCGAGGACCTTAAGACGAACAACGGGGGCTCCAGACTATGTATGACAGCAGTAAATAAAAGTTTAAAAACTGTGGTTAAAAAAACTAAAACTTTAAACAAAAAAGAAGTCATAATCATTGCAAAGCTCATGGCCAGAACAAGTGTAGTGCAATATATCAAATTCTTTCAACTTGATGAAACAATGCAAAGAATAATGATCACTCTAAAACTCAAACAGAAGAATATATAATTTTTTTTCCTTTTAAGAAAATGAAATAAGCAGTAAAGACAATTGTCGCACACAGAAGAAATTTTCAGTTCACATAAGAAGAAAATTAATAGAAAATAGCGTTGAATCTGATCTTTTCTAAGTGCCAGCTTTAACGACAGGAATTTGACTGATCTTATTCGGAGGGGTCTAGTTTGTCATCAAATTTGCAAGTGGCTCGTGACAAAAATGCTTTTGGATAAAAATCAGATAACGTGACACTTCCACAACAGTACGATAAGTCAAATATGCACACACACACAAATATATATATGTATGTATAGACGATTGCATTTAACATGAAACAGGCTGTCGCTTTTGGGTGTTGATTTAATGTACACTTTTATATTTACATTGGCTCTATCCCTGATATCGAGCACTTTAACCCATAAATATAGCATACCTTAAAACTATATTTTATCATATGTATCCGATGTATAAAATCTAGTATGCATACACACAATTATCTTATTATTATCTTCTTATTTCTGAGAAGTAACGGGCCTGGTGTCACAAACAATGTATTTCAATTGCAAACAACAAACTATATGGTTTCTCCTTCAAAGTAATACCTCTCGAGTGAAATGCAATTTTCCAGCCTTCTCTGTCACGCTTCTATGCATTGCTGGAAGGATTTCTCT